CCCCCCCCCCCCCCCCCAGTGTCGTCCGGTGCCTCTCCCCCCCACAGCTGCACCGAATGGGTCGCTCCAGTCTGCCCTGTCTGTCCAATGGCAGAGAGGCTGAGGGATTCGAGCCCCCCTATTGGCTCCACATGATCGATTCGGGGCTGATTGATCGGTTTTTAGGCCACTTTTTCTTTTTTTCTTCTATTTCTTTGCGAGGAAGGCTAAAAAACAAAACACCACCCGCGAATAGAAAGCACACACTTCGTGTTTTCTGTCCACTTATCGGCTGTAAATTCACCCACAAACAGAATATAATACACATGGAGAGCAACACACCTCTGACTTCATTACTCTGACTAAACGTCTCGGAACCAAACTCTCAGGTTGAGATATTATTGTTGAGAACTTATTCTTTTGTCTCTGTGTGATAAAAGTTCACAGTTTACAAGTGGATTTAAAAGTCTGGTCAAATATGAATGAGCTCTAATTTGAGGAGAACGAGTCATGAAAGTACTGACACCAGAGAGTATAACGTGAACCAAATAGTTTGAGTTCACCCCTCTGTGTCACTGAAATCTTATTTCATTTACATCAGTGCTTTTTTTGAATTAATAAAAGAGTGAAAGTGGCTCAAAGTCTGCGTAAAGTATTCATGATATATTTGGTGAAGTCGTATAAAAACGGACAGGATTTTCCAGACATTCCAGTAGATTTCCACATGATGCTCGTGTATTTCTCAGCCCGTGCACGTGAACGGAGAGACACATTATCTGCTGATTATGCTCATACGGTGTTGCTGGTCGGTGACGGCCTGTTTGAAGTGTTTTTTCTTTCTCTCTCTCTCTCCGTGCAGCGCGTCCAGTCATCGATCATCTGGCCCCTCGGTGCCACAGAGATATGGTGTCATAACATGATAATGCGGCTTCACACATTCGGCGGGATTCCGGCGCTAAAAAAAAAAACAGGTGGGGATGGGGGACAAGTTTACAGGAGTAAAAAAAAAAAAATCACCAACAAAGCCTCCCAGCAGTCCGGTCGGAGAGGCTCCCGGGGGCGGCGGGCTGAAGAGGAGCCACGAAGCCGCGCAGGACGCACGACTTTTACGCACGGAGAGATATTTGGATCAAATAATAATAAACTCGTTTAACTCGTCGAATTTGTTAATTCAATTATGTATTGGTGAGTAGAAGCTCTAATTTTCTCATTATTTTTTTATTTGTTTACGGTAAATTCAAATATTAAAAAGCGTATTCTTGTAACAGATATTTTTCTGGAGGAAAGTTATTTTTTGAATTAAAAGGAGAAGCTGTGGGTGTAGTAAACAGCATTATGTATCTCACGACACCACGAGGCACTCTGCGTTTTGGAGGGTCATTGAGAGAGAAAAAGCCAAATTAACATGAAAGGAGACTGACCACTAAAATAACTACACCGGCATTATAAAGCAATTAAGCTCCTTCAATTAGCGTCTGTAAAAGCAAACTGGAGCTCCACTTTCTCTCCTGGAGCTGCTCTTCCGCGAGGGTCAGCGCGTTTTCTGGCAATCTGGGAGAGAGAGAGAGAGAGCAGGGAGGGGGGTCTAAATACCGTCATTTCTGTTTAATCCGCTTTGCGATGACGGTAATGCTTCGAGTCGTTTCAATAAAATCAGCAGGTATTACTTTCAAACGGCTGAATGTGAAATGACAGCATGTTCGACTGCCGAAACAAACAGGGCGTCCTGCGCGCGCTGACTTCTGCTGTTTGGACGCAGAGACAAGTTTCAGCCTTTGTGTCAGTTTATTAAAAATGCATTCCTCTAATTTCAGGTTACTGTGTAAAATCCTATTTATTTTGGGTCAGATAATGCTGTGATAAATACAGACTCATTTGATGAAGCCATTTAGTTTTAACGCGTAGAGTTTTAGGTGTAAAACAAATACGAATGAATAATCTGCGTCTGTTTGAACAAACAACCAGCAGAGCCCGACGAGTCAAACCGAGGTCAAACTACTGCTTCTTTTTGCAGCCCGCAGCGCAGACGTGTCGGGATCTGCACAAAAAAAGGCCACCGGTCGTCTCTGCTTCGTATCAGTCGCTGCGGCACAGACAGACAGACAGACCGACCGACCGACAGACCTGCTGCAGAGCGTTCACACAGCTCATCTGATTATATGAAACTACTGGTGTATTCTCGCCCGTCGGGAGACCCGTCCGGACTCTTCGTGGTGCGTTCAGGGTCAGCTTTCTCTTTTAAAAGTTAGTGTAATGAGCTATAATGTAGCATTCAGTATTAAAGTCTGATTCGTCATCGTTTAAAAACTGATATTAACTAAATTATTGTAGTTTGTCTTAAATTATTGTCACATGACTCTTTTTTTTTTAAATATTGGCATTAATAACTCGAGAGTATAATTACATCACATCCTAAATACAAAGGCTTGAGTTTAATGGTGTTAAAGTATAAAAGCAAGAATATAAAGTGTCTCAATATTGATTTGAAACCATGAAATCAGTTATTTTTGGGGATGAAGGGAAAGGCTCCCTCGCTTCTGTTGGATCCTGCAGTTTGGACCAAATGTTCCTCTGAGCTGCTTTTTTTAGCCTCTCACATTAATGCTGAACCATTTGCGCCTTCTACCGGAGATGTGAGGAACTACACGAGGAGCAGGACACGCAGAGGAAGAGTCCGGCTCAGATGATGAAGACAGGAAGCAAAAAGTTAAAAAAATAATTCACTAAATGCAGAATATTCAGTTTGAATCTGTAATGAAGTCGGTTCTTAAATTCCATCATGTACAAAACTATCTATGATGATAATAAAATACATAAGAAGAGTACTGCTGCTGTGTTTTATTAAAGATCTCAAAGTGTTGGTACTAAATGAAGTGAAAGGGATTTTCATGAGCTCCAAAACAAATAAAAAATAAAGTAATAAACTCTGAAGATGAAACCTTAAGATACTCAGTTTTCACAAACAAATATGTATTTTCATATTCAAATATCTGTGTTGTTTTTTTACAAATCATGTAAATTCCAATTAAGAAGATTCATTCACAGCCCAGCGTGTCCGCTCATGTGTCCACATTAAAGCTGAGCATGAGCTTGTCCACGACGTCTAAACATTTAGAGATGAACTACGAGTGTCGAACATCTGGAACACGACAAGAAATGGAGCTCAAACTGTTTTGGTTTTGTAGCAGCAGATAAACGTCACCGGACATCTCCTCTCTCTATCTCACTGAGTGTGAAAGTCTATAAAAGAGCTAAATGTGAAGCTCAACACACACTGCTGACGGAGGTGTTGCATTAATGTGAACATGTGGATTCATGGATCCTCACACCTATAGATACATATGTGAGGAACAGCTGCTTTCCTATATGGTGAGAAATGTGTGAAAGTAGATGCACAGATTCATCAACGCACACACACGCACACACACACACACACACACACAGCAGGTCTGTTATAATCATTGAGCTCAATGCATACCAGTCAATTTTCACATTTTGTCACATGGCCACCAGGTCAGCAGCTCCACTTTTACTCTGAATTAACCCCACAGATAGACAGAGTGCTCATCACTCTATCACACACACCTCCCTCTCTCCCTCTTTCGCCCTCTCTCTCTCTCTCTCACCCTCCCCTTCCTGCAGCATTTGTCACTGCTGCTATTATTTCAGGTGTGCTAATGGTGTCGCAGACACTTTCAGAGTGAAAAGAGGAGGACGGGAAGAATCACATGGACTCCTCTCTCCCCCCCCTCCCCCTCGAAAAGGGGTGAATGATTTGGGTGAGGGGAATCTGTGAGGGCCAGTGGCACTGATCATGGCGGAGGGGTGAGGGTGGGTTTCTCACACTTCCCAGGGAGACTGTGAATTGATCGGCACCTTAGAGAGAGGGAGGGAAAGTGAGAAACAAAAAAAAGAAGCAGCTGAAGATGGATGACGACGAGGAGGGAACAAGTGGAAAAAAAAAAAAAGCTGGGTGTTGGAGTCGAGCTATAAAACCAGGACGGGAGGGAAGGGGAAAAAAACAACACAGAGCAATAGGAAGGGAGGTGAGGGGGTGAGGCAGCAGAGGAGGTGTGAAGACTCATCTTTTCCTGGATGGGTGTGAGAGGAGAGCGGCCGGCTAACATCAGCTTTAAAGAAGCACACGAGGGGCTCTGATTACTAACGTGATATTCAGTTCATGGATCAATAATTCACTCACACAGCTGGCACAACCACCACGACAGTCTCAAGAGCTGCTTTTGTTTTTTTAATATGAAGATTGTGATTATTTTGTCCTCATTATAAATTTATTATATTAATATTCCATAAAACAACAACAGAGGCAAGTTCTAGCCCCAAAAGTAATACTGTATGGTTGTTGTTTTTCCCCCTTTAATTTACTTGTGATGAATAAATATACAGGAAGTGTGTGAGGATCTTTACTTTTTAGTCAGAAGGACTTTTATTTTGGCAAACACGAAAAAATAAATTTAAAAACCTCCCACACGGCTGATTTGTGTGTTGTTTCTCAGGTTGTTCCTTTAATTAAAATGATAGATTCCTCTGTTTTCCTCCGGTTTTACAGCCAGACTGCCACACTGACTCTTTGTTTATGAGTTTCAGAGTGAAACCATTCCTCCAGATGATGACTGCTGGAGAATAAAAGCCTCGACCACGACGAGCATACGGCTTGTGGCTGATCTGTATCTACCCGCCTGCAGTAAACACACGGGGACACACACTCGCACACACCACAAATTATATATATATATGTATGTGTGTGTGTGTGTGTGTGTGTGTGAAGGTGAATACAAACTAGAGCATTTCAGTCGCCTCTCTGAAAAATGAACAGCCAATTCATTCATTTCCTTCACAAAAGCAAAGTTTCAGGTTCAACTTTAACAGCCTATTCAACGTGTTTTCATGTATAAAAGCTAAAAACATCCCATGAATGCAGTAGATTCAACACACACAAAGGAAATAGGAATAAGGCAATGATATAACACCGATGCCATCCTGAATAAAAGTGATGTAATCAAGTGAAATATATCAGGTTACAGGTGAGAAGAGGAGCATATTTTGGAGGTAGAATGGAAACTTTAACTGTCACACTTGACATTTTAACGTCCTCCTTCTGGTAACTTCAAATAAACTCAACTAAAAAAAAGAAACTAATTTAAAGCTGTGAAAGAGTAGAAATGCACGAGCTACAAAACGTTTGTAATCCACGTAAAAGCCAAGATAAAAAGATGGTTTCACTTGAAAATATTACAGACTCAGCTAACTTCAGGAGCGTATGAGCAGCTAAAAGTGCACGAATGCAGCCGCGAGTCTGCTGCTGCTGACGTGAACAACAACAGCAGAATATCTCCAGATTAATAAACTAAAGTTATAGGTTCTGTCCTTCAGCATCTGTCTCTGAGAGGAAACAGCAGGTTTGGTGATAAACATGAATCAGTTAGTAAAATAATGATGAATGAAGTGTCACACGCGCACACACACACACACACACACACACACACACACACACACACCAGGTCAGATTGTTGAACACCAGTTCAGCGGGGGGGCAGCAGTGAATCAGATTACTAAACACACTGATTGAGTGCAGCGGTTGCTGGTGGACCTGCAGCCGTCTCTCCTAAACAAAGTTATCTCTGCAGAAGTGCATGAAGAGGTCAGCGGCCACGTCGTCTCCTCTCACATCCCCTCGGACGCCGTACGACCCGGAGGATCCCAATAAAGAAGAAGCTCTCCGAGCATAAATCCCCATCGTGACGGCAACATATCAGAGTAAAGAGCTTCTGCTGCGGCTTCACTGCAGTTATTTAAAAGAATATACACACATATCCTCCAAGGCCTTTTAAAACAATGAGACTCATTTTCATGTGAAAAGTTCTTCTAAACTGTCAAAGACTCAAGGTGGTCTGTTGTAAATGTATTCCACTTATCTTTTGTTAGTTATCACAAGTGTCGTAACCATCAACAGACAACAACAGACTCACTAATGTTTGACACTTCTATCTTTATTCCCTTTGTTCTGTCGCTCTCTCTCCCTCCTCTGTTGATCACACATCCTACCACACCTGCCTCGCACCATCACTCTTCCCTCACTGTGTTTTTTGCTTCGTCCTTGAATTTCTAAATGCAGACAAAACTGTAAAAATTCTTCCAAAGAGCCGTAAAGTGAACCAACTCTGAGGGGAAATTTAAAAAAATGACATTTAGAGAAATTCCTGATTTAGCATAAATAGTTTTGTTTTTTTACAACTCTATTTGCAAGAGTAGATGAACTTTACTTTACTGAGCTTATTTCATTTAGAAAAAGAGACTCTCAACTGAGACAATAAACGCAGCTGTTAGAAATAGAAAAGGTCTTTTATGAGGGAGAAACTGTTGCTACACTTTAACGCCTAAACGTTCACACTCTCATCACGAGCGTTTAAGAAGAAAGAAAAAGAACATACACTGTAAACATTCATATTTCACCAAAATATTCTGGAGGTCCGAAAGGTTTCCATCAGAGCAACTTTGCTGGGTTTTGTATTATGCATGCTGCCAATAAATTGTTTGTAGCTTCTATTTTCAAACTTCTTTGAAAAAACTAAATAAAATAGAAGCGACAGTAAACTATAAAATGCTGCTTGTTTTGTGCCTGAAAACCTTTTTTGATGCGAGGTTTTCAATCTGGACAAGTTCTAAAGATGAGTTCAGGTCACATTGGTAGTTGTTGAATAAACTGAAGTGGAAAACAGACTGAAGATCGGAGCGATTCCACAAAGAGACACACTGAGCAGCTGCGTTCCATCACTTGTGCTTTCCAAATGTGGGAACAAAAAAAGATTTCCATCCAGAACCAGTGACAGACTTAACCAGACAGGATTGACATGTTAGCCGTGATTACACTGCTCCTGGATCAGCTCCTCACCACCAGAACCAAACCACCACAACGTCCTCTGAAGTCCCCAGTTCCTCTTCCCTTCACCGAATGCTGGAGAACAACCTCAGAACTAATTTACTTTGCTTACAAACAGAACTCGTCGACTGATGAAAAGTCTGGAGGGTGATCGTGCCGAAGAAGTAAAGAACTGGCAAATGATAAAGTCTGAGACGAGTCTGAGACGAGAGGGTTCACCGCAGCGGGACGACTCTCAGTGCTACGAGTACTACACGTTAAATAACACAAAGAGACGAGAG